TTACACTACTTTCGATTTAAGAGGAGGAGTAAACATGCGACTATGCCTCTGAGTAAAAGTTTGCCAAATTTTCTACTAGCCACCGCGTCAAGAAATCGAGGTACACAAAAAATCTCTAACGCTACTATTAATTTCTTTATTTCACTTGGGATTCTTAGATACAGAACGAATAATTGGAGATAAATTGCCTTTCTAACATTAATGCACAATACTTTTTGTTGATGCCAAGAACATGAAAGACTTAACTAAGATCAAAACATTAACAGCAATGCATATTTTAGTATCTCCTCTATCTTTCACACATATACTAATTTAAGAATTTTCTATCTAGTTGATACATTCCATAAATAGTTCATGTCACGATAATTGCTAATAAAATCTAAAGTTGTTCTGTGACTTCGAAATGAGGCTTTCGTACGGGACTGAAAAACGGGGAATCTTGCCTACCTCGTTCATATCATCAGTTTGATGTGATTCCTAATTTATATAGGTCATTATTTTCCCAAGAAGTATAACAAGATATTTGGCAACTGCGTTCTACCATCGTACAAGAGAGAGATGCAGATTTATCTCGAATAAACAATCATGGTAAAGAAGGTATTTAAGAAGTAATTAGAATGTATTATTATCCATGACGAGATTGGTGAGATAAGTATGAAACAAATTATGAAGACGAAGAAAAGATATGTCACATGGTGAATATATTCTCTGATTTTTTAGTGAATGAGGAAAAGAATAGTAAGGAGAAAATTGAACTTCTCGAAAACAAGACGCCAAAAATTACCATACTGTGTTAACTTGAATTCGAATATCAGATTTTTACTTCCCGTCGTCCGTAGCGTGTGCAGGACCAAACTACTCTCCCGACAAACGTGAAGAGTTATAACCGAGTAGAAATGGGTGACAAAATTCCCTATGAGTTTTTAATCAAAAATGAACTCTTTGGAGATGACAATTTTTGAACTTTAGAAAAGTATAATATCTGCATTCAAGGTCCTGGCCACGTTCTGACTCTCACTTTGGTCACAATGTCGCTGAGCTATCTTTGTGTACTAACGTAGTGTGTACATATCAGTTCACCGTCACTTATTTGGTTTCATCCGATTCATGTAGCATTTTATCCATCTATTTTTCCTAATTTTCACTTAGAAATCACTTCCTGAAGTTGGTTGGAAAAATGCAGCCTCCGCACGTACGTAATTCAGTTTCCCAATTGAAGTTTTATAATCAATGTGGCCTTAAATAGCATTCTCTGTAACATAGCGCAATACCTGAACATTAGTTTAAGGTTATCGAAAGTGAAAGGCTATGTAAAAGGTTGGCGGCGGGATTTTCGATTCGCAAGTTAGATATTTGCGTCGAAGCAGACTAGTCTTGATGTACATTCAGGAATCCAAGAGCTCTGATCGCTTACTAAAAGGCGAATGTTGGAGCAGTAACCTGCACCATGGTCTATCCCTGGAACGCGGGAAGGTTGTTCGTGGGTCAAAGTAGACGGCGACAGAGGAACAAAAGCGGTATGAGATTTCAAAGGCAATTGCCGCGGCGCTATAAGAAATGCAGAGGACAAAGCGACGGCAGCCGCCGCTAACAGCAACGCGGAGTGGCCTTCTTCACCACAGTGTCCTTCTGTATATGAACTTCAATACCTCGGCTCTATCTCGAACTCCTTATGAAATATGTGACTACTACTACATTTTAAACGGCATTCCTTTGCGCTTACTTTCTTCCTTTTTGTATTTGTATTAATAGAAAAAAGGGGAATTTCATTAATTTCAGGTTCCTCCCAATCGTACTTCAGGTATTCGAATTTTTTAATCTAACTTTCATGAATCCTAAAGATTGTCTTCTGATGAGAGTCCGGTGTTCAGACTTCTCGTCTTCGCTTCTCCTCTTGTCTTGAGCGTCGTTGCCTTTACTTTCCCTTCTTGTTACTTTCTCGCCCTTACTTCGAAAGAAAAAAATAATTGTAATAGTTCGCTGGAAAATAGTGAATTTTCGACAGGAATCTGTAATTGCCGGGCTCTGTTAACAAAGAATTGGATAAATCTTGTTGCTCGGATTGCAGAGTTACTTATTGGTCTCGATGCAGCATTTTGATGAACTTTGCCTTAAAATACAGGTCACTTTCCTGCTTTTCTCGACGTTTCCCACTGACAATTTTATAAGCAATCAATGACCAGTTCCCCTGACCTCAAGTAAATCAAGTGCTGGAGATTGAGGAATTAGCGACCCCATGCGAGTACCCCGACTCCAAACATATGTTTCATAGCAGGAAAATCGAAAAATTGTTTTGCACATTCACCTTTCTACACAACCACCTACGTACTGTTAATTGTCATTAAAGCTGAGAATTCTCAGACTGGTTCGGTTAAATATGCAGATGTAATGCGGACAATACGGTTCAATACTCGGAAGAAATCAACAATCAATTGTTGCTCGATGAACATGACAACAAATATAATGGAAGTGCCAACGATCACATTTCGCTTACTACAAAAAGTGTTGTGCTCATTTTACACAGAAATAATCGGCTACTGTAGGCTACTGAAAGAAGAAGTTTGTGAGCACTTCTCTCAATATGCGAATATTTCCAAATTTACAAAAACATTTGCAACTCGACCTTTATACAGAGACTATCATTTTGTTAGACCCAATTTTTTTCTACCTGCTCCCAGTGCAGAAAAGTTAGATCAAGAAGCGCTGAAATTTTGTTGGGTTCATCTCACCTTATTTGGGACGTTACAAGCAATTAACCACCACATATTTTTACATATTGTTTATTCGTTATATTTTTTTAACAGTATTGCCACTTTTTTATCTAAAAGCAGTTAAAGTCAAGAACACACTGAACTTCAAACGTTAATACTGTATGCATACAGGGCAATACAAAACGTACCGTCAAACGAAGCGAGACCAATATTCATTTTTATTCGTCGCATAAAATTATTACATTGGCATGGAATCAAAGAACGTCTGTTCCGATACCGTACTGTTGAAATTAGTGCAATGTGTGAAAACGAGTTCAGTTTCTCCGATCCACTTCGATTCCCCCTTTAATATTATTTATTCCTTCCCAAACAAGTGAAATCGTGACTTCGCATCTGCCTCCATAAATAAGCCTTTACGTCGTGTTCGCACTTCGCGCGACACTCTTGCTATCGCGATGTCAGAGAGCGCAACCCGGCGCCGCTTCTTGTCGCGCGTCAGGCGTCACGCTCGAGGGCGTGCGCGGCCGCCGCGGGGACTTTCCCGCGTCCTCCACCGATCCGGAAATCGAACGTCGTGACCACGTCCTCGCCGCGCTCCACCCGCGTCCGCACGCACCATCCGGACACGAACCGATGTGCTGACGCTCCTTCATATAACGACGCTCATCTTCGTCCCGGACCCCGCGACCGTCCTCAGTCTTCACTCCTCGTCCTCATCTCCTTTCTCACTCCCGTCCTCAGCACATCCTTTTGCCCGTCCTCTTGTTTGTCCTCACGCACGAAACAAAACAGACAATTCTCTTTCCCGCCTTCACGCCCACCCTCACGTACGCCCTCACGCCAGCCTTCACGTACGCCCTCACGCCCGTCCTCACGCCCGTCCGCACGCCCGTCCTCACG